ATACAAGATTATGATTAGATCGAGTCAATATTTATAAAAAAAAAAAAAATCAATCAAAAAAAAATGAACTAACATATTTACGTTAATATTTGAAAGGTACGCAATTACCATTTTTGGGGGAAACTTTGATTAAACTGAAAATATACTAAATATATAATGTATTTTATATATAGGTCTAAACTCAGACAACTCAGTCTAAACTCAGAATAGGAAACTTTTGAATCGAGAACAAACTTCATCATCATCAATGAGATCAAATTTGGAGTTAAATTAAATATCATTCGATAAAGAGGAACAATTACAAGATTTTGAAGAGGAGATAATCCTATTGTTAGTTGTTCGTATTTAGATAAATTAGATAAATTGAACAAAGAAATCAACAAGTCATTAAATGATTTATCCAATTTCATACATTTCGTTTAACAACGTCAATAACATGTTACATGATGTTATAATGCATTTGAAATGGTTTCCACGAATCCACGTTTACCTTTAATGTTACCATCTCATGACCGCAGTAACAAGCATCAAGGTGATACAGAAGAAAATGTGGTATGCATCTTTTAATTTAATGTAACAAATAATTTAAGTTTTATTGGACATTCGTTAACAATTAAGTGACCTAATCTAGAAAATATTATATTTATTATACAATCAAATATAACGCTATGTTGGACAAATTAAAATATTAAAAACAAATAATTCTATCCAATAATATTAATATTATAAAAGTTAAGAAAAAGGGAGGGAGGAAGAGTGATTACAATATTTTCTTTGGTACATTATATATATATTATATTAAAATTACATGTAACATTGCAGCGTGCAACCAGGCAGGCCGGAGGGAAAGATTAAACAAAGCAATCAATCAGCATAGATAAGAAAGAATCATCATTGAAATAATTGATAATCCCATGGTTGTGAAAGTATTTGATAATAATATGGATGATGAGCTCGTGGAAGTGGAATTTGTAGAATTTCCTTGAACTTTGTTTATTACATCACCTTTAGCGTTAATAGATGAGGGATCAAACCCTGGAATTGTACCCGTTATATCTTGAATGACAAATCTAGTGGACCAAACATCATCGACACCAGAGTTAAATTTATAAAAATAAAATCTTCCAGGTGGACCTAAACCAGGTTCAATTTTATAAGATATTTTACCAACTGTTGGAAGAACTGTACCCAGGTCCTTAACTTCAATTTGATTATCATTAGGTCCTGTCATTAATTTAATATTAATATTTGATAATTCAATTAATTTCGGTGCTGTTCCATCTTCCACCCATCTTAATTCACATGGCGCTTTTGAAGAACACGTTGTAGTTTTATTTACCATTATCAAGAGCTTTGCTTCGATGACAGAAGAGAAGAATTTATGGCACGATACCAAGAAATATAGAAATTGCTTAATTTTTTTTTTTAAAAAAAAAAAAAAAAATCAAAATGAATGAAAGTTTGTATAATAAACCGCAGGAAAATATTGGTTTAAAAAAATTCGCTATCTAAGCGATAAGCGATCTTACAATGAATGAATGAGGTGATGGTGGTGTAGGAGGAAAGAGTTAAATGTAAAAGAGCAAACATAATTCCAAACTACAAGTGTTTATATAGTGGAGGCAAACTTGATTAATTATTTGTAACCCAAATAGAGACAAATATTTTCCTTAATGGGTATCCAAAATTTTGTTTACTGCTTGAGGAACAAAAAATATATTTTTCATCTTAATTATTCTTTGATAGAAATTTCTAATTGTCACAAAAAGTTCGGAATTGGGCGATCTACATTAAACACGCTAAAAAAAATTTGATATAAAGGGAAATGATAATTTCACAATAACACAAGATTAATTATTTTCTTCTACTTAGTAGTCATGTCAATGAAATCATTTGAAATTTCACCAAATTTTTGTGTTACAAAAAGATTAGAAAATTCTTTTAAAAAATAATTGGACAAAACAAAAACAAAAAAAAAAAACTTTGATAAGAACTTTACCCTTTTAATTATTAAACTAAGTATAAAAGAGGGTCGAATGACAGATTATGCATAAACTAATAGGAAAATACTTAATTTGTTTAAAATTACCCAATAAAGTAATATAAACGGAAATTACATTTATTAAATAGAATGAAATTATTAAAACATGTGATTAATAAATTGAGCAATTTTCTTCGGGATAATCGAGACGAAACTTGTATGAAAATCATTAAATGCATGAGAATCTTTTTCAAATGATCGAATTATAAGATGTTTCATAAAAGTATAATAAATTTATAAATTTTCAAAAATTTATATTTTTAGTAATAAAAATTACGATTGCATTTTTTTACGTCATATATTATATCATGATGGGGCGTAGCAGCGCTTATTAAAAGACCAATTAAATAATACATTAAGCTAAACTAAGCTAAATATAGTTTATAATTTTTCCATACATAACATTTCGATACATCATTAGTCGACTCATTAGACTGGCTAACTGGCTAAAGAAAAAATACCCGTAAAAAAAAAAAAAAAAAAAATTTTTTCAATTTTTCAATAAGCATCGAATGATCGTTTTGTGTTAGAACGGCTTCAATCAATTTCAGAAATATTTATAGTACAAATTTTTAATATGGTTCCGGAATAAGCAAAGGAACTAGGTTTGCGAATCACATATGATTTAAGATCGTTATTTAGTTTTGTTACCGAATTAGTTAAAAAATTAAAATTAAGTTGTTTCACAAATTTATAAATTGTTTATTTTCAATTTGTGAATTTATTACCCGAAAATTTTTTTCAGTACGATTCTTTTTATTAAAAAATAAAAATAAATTAAAATAAAATATTAAAGTTTTTTAAACAATAATTATATACCATATTTGCTTAGATTTTCGATTCACTTATTTATTTGATAAAAAACCGCACAAATAACTTTTTAAAGTTTTTTGTTTTTTTTCTTCCTCTCTCTCTTAAAAATTTAAAAGAAAAATTTTTAAAAGTCATAATCTCTTTTTTATAAATCCTTTCCTTAATAAAAATTATAAAAATTATTTTATTTTATTTTATTTTTATTTTTATTTTTATTTTTCTCTCGTTGAATACCGGTATATTCGATATTAAAACTTTTCTTTAAATTCATTCTTAAAATTATCGGATTTTCTTCTTATTATTTCATCTTTCATTTTCATTTTCATTCCATTTCATTTTAAAATCAAAACTTTCCCGATATGCTAAAAAGAAAAACTGTCGATAAAAGGTTTGTCGATTATGTATTTTTAGCAGGTTTACCCCCGAATTTTCGAATTAATCCCAAAAAGCAAGAATCGATAGATCAATTATCATCTTCTAATCATGAAAATGATAATTTATTCATTAAAGAAGAAGAACATTCAAATGAATCGAATGGAAAAGAAAATGATATTATGAAATCAAAAGAGGATGAGGATGATGATACCATAAAAAGTGCTGATGACAAAACATCTTCAAAAATCATCTCGAAAAATACCCCCGTCAAATCAGATACGACTCCTGGTAATAATGACACAAATACATCTGAAATAACTAATGCATCGAAAAAATTATTTGAAAGATATAGTAGAGATTTAGTAATACATGATGATGAAAGTAAACAATTATTTGATTCATTATTTGAAAGTATTAAATTAAATATATTAAAATTTGATCAAGAACGTGACGAATTTTTAAAATCATTGGGAAAAGAAATAAAAGAAATAAAGGTTCCTAATATTACATTCAGAAAAAGTTTTAATAAAAATGTTAATGATGATGATGATGAAACTCATGAAAGTGGATCAAGTACTGAAATTAAGGATTTTGATGATGAATTACTAGAAACAGATTCTATAAAAAGTCTTTCAAATAGTGATATTCAAGAACAATCAAATAATATCAGAAGTTCATATCAGAATGTAGTACCACAACAACCTTCATCAAAACAGAATGTTGATGATTCTGATACTTTGTTACATCCTTTAAAACAAAGATTTTCTCCAAAATTATTATCCAGATATCCAAAGAATGATTATCCAAAAGAAGGAAACTTTCCTGCATATGTTCCAATGGTACTTTTTTCTTTCTTTTTTTATATATATTTATGTGTGTTGTCGTACCTATATTTAAAATTTTTTGTTTTTAATAGTTTTGTTTTCCTAATGATATAATGATAAGAGAATCAGACAAATGCCCTGATGCAACTTTCCATGGTTTTGTATCCTTTAAAAATAAAATAAAAAAAATCAAATGCTGATTTAAAATATATATTATGTAATATTATCTTTAACGGAAAATATTAATGATCGTTATTAGGTGATGACACAGGAAGATGGCTCACAGCGATATGGAGTATGTTTAACTACATTTGAACCAATACAAGATGATTTGTTTGAAGAATTATACGAACAACAAAAAATCTGGAGAGAAGCTAACATGGTAAGTAAATTATTTTGATTTTTTATCAAATGTGATATCGACCTTTCTTTTCACTTCCTTTATTAAATTTTTTTTTCTAAAAAAGTCTCAGAGTGAGATAGAATACGCAGAAAGTTTAAATGAAAAGATAAGGATAGAAAGAAAAAGAATGGAAACGGCAAGAGCAAAAATTTTATTACAGAGACACATAAGCAATAAAGAATTAGAAGAAATAGAAATGGAAAAGGCTGATGCAAAAGAAAAATTGGCATTATATAATGAACTATTACAACCTATTAAACTAGGAGTGTTAGATAATAGTAATCTATGGGTGCCAAAATGTATTGGTATAATAAGTCATTTACCATGGCATGATATATTAAAAGATTGGTTATGTGCTGTCGCAATGCCAATGATTGAAGGACTTAAAGAAAGAAATGATCCAATTAAATCTTTGATCCCTCTTGAGAGGTAAGTTAGAGGAGAACTATGGAAGAATAAAGTAGCGAATAACATAACATATATATATATATTTACTTAATTTTTTTTTAATAGGTACATAGTGAACCTTGTACATGAGATACCTTTACCACCACTTGGAAAATTACAAATAGCATTATCAGTTAATGATATGACATTCTTTTGTGCAAGGCCTGCGCTTAATCAGTTGCCAATAATGAAGGATGTAAGTGGTATTAACTTTAATTTGATTCGTAATTCTTTTCTTTACTAATCTTTAAATTTTTTTTTTTTTTGGAAATAGTTTTCGTTATATTCATTATTTAGAAGTCTTTCGATTAAGAATATAATAACATTATTTGAGGTTGCATTAGCAGAAGGAAAAATATTGATAATATCATCATACCCAGACATGTTATATCAAGTAGCACACAGTATAACATATTTAATTTATCCATTATATTGGCAGGGTGTATTCATTCCTGTATTACCCGCTAGATTAATGGCATGTTTACAGGCACCAGTACCATATATTATGGGAATAGAGAGACAATATAAGGGTATTGATTTATTACCTGAAGATGTACGTAATAATACTAAACGTAATTTTGTGAACGCGTTTTTGTTAGAATTTCTCATTTACCTTTTTTTTTTTATTATAGGCTTGTATAATTGACGTTGATAAGGATACAATATTAATGGCAAAATTACCAATACAAATACCATCTAAACAAAGAAAGAAATTGTTTCAATCATTGGAAACGTATTCACCTATGCATGCACGTTATAACGTACCATATGGTGTGCCTTCATTTATACAACAAGCGTATCCAAATGGTAGATTTACGCCAATGAGTAATAAATCAAAATTGTATGATAAAACAGCGGGAGATAAGATGTGTTCGGTAATAGGAATGCCATCTAGGGCAATACCGTTAACTTTATCAATGTCTAGTTCATTTGATCCTGAAAATGGATTAATGAGAACCAATAGTAATGGCGAAATTGATCAAGTTTTACATTTAGCTCCTATATATGATAGCGATAATATGAGTTATAAAAGTAATAATAGTAGTTCAAGTACTATTAGTGATCTATTTGGTAACAATAATAATATGAGGTTGCCTAATTATAGTAATAAGACACATATGCATGTAAGATCAAGTGTTTCTATGAGTAATTTAAACTCGGTTTATAATAATAGTTCGGCACATTCTATACAAAGAAGATTTTCCAATTTTGTTCCTCCTTCTTTCTCTTCTAATAAAGTTGATTTAAGTGGTTTGGACAAATTTGGTAAAAAAACAAAACAAAGACTTAGTACTATAACTGGAGGGGCAAGAAAGTCCATAATGGTAAGTTGTTATTGTTTATATTCTATTATATAATAGCCCTTACAAAAGACTAAATCTTTTTCTTTGCATTTTTTTTCGGTAAAAAATAACAGACGTTTAAAAACAAAGCATTAACAAGAAACAGTTTCTTGATAAATATACGTGAAACATCATCACATTTGATTAACGATAATTCGATAATAAGTCCACCAACGTCGCCTGGTTCAACCGATTACTCTGATTCATTATTTGATGATGTTTCAAGTATATCTCATTCAAACAAGTCAGTACCATTAGGAGTTAACTCTGAAAAAAATTACACACAAAAAGAAGGTCATATGATGGTATTATTACCGCCTGATATTGAAGCATATGGACAAAAAAGTGGTATTAATACTTGGATGATGGAAGGTTTGGCTTGCGGTATATGTAGAAATAGTCTTGGTATTAATCCTGTGTATAAATGTGAAGGATGTTCAATCATGATACATGATGAATGTTTAAATGATGTGGTTTATCCTTGTATACCTGCCTGTTTTGATGAACCAAAGGTATTAGAAGCATTCTTAAGAGTATTTTCTTCATTATTAAGAAATTATCGTTCTTTTCTTATAAATAATGACAATACAACAAGAAGTCGTGCAAATGATGATAATGAATTCGAAACTATTGAAGATATTAATGAACTATTTAGAAAAGATTTGTTCTTAAAAACTCTTGATAAAGATGAAAAGGTAATTAATTTATTCATACGAGAAATGGTTTTATTTATTAAGCAACTATAATCATAATACATTTTTTCTTTTAGGCATTTTTATCTAATTTGATAGATTCTCAATCATTTTCACAATTTATTACTGAGAGAGCAATAAGAAAAAGCGAAGATTATGATATATTATATTTTGATGAAATTATAAAAGCAAAACTTAATAGATCAAAACTAAAATTATCAAAAGAATTAACGAGTTTCCTAGACGTAAGTAAAATTGTAATTCTTGTAATATATATATCTATATATATATATTCTTTAATTCTTATGATTCTTGTAAGTCTTGCAAGGAATATTAATCCACTTTTTTTTAATACGACTAATAGGATTCTTCATTTGATGTATCACAAACTATACGTGCCATGAAACCAAATGAAGAAGGTCTTGACGAATTAGGATTTGAAGGTTACATATATTTACCTGATTGTTTTGATTCTGAATTAATGTCTACTCCTCGCCCCGTGCGAGATGGTTGGGCAAATGGTTTCGGTAAAGGGTGGAGGTAATTAAGGGTTGGGATTTATACCATGTAATTTAATAATTTAATGTAGTTTATATCATATATATATAATATATATATACATACACTATTAATAACAAATTTAGTAAATAAATTTTATAAAATTTTATTAATTTTAATGATTCAAATCACCAAAGATATGTTTCTTATATAATGCATAATATCAGATTAGAAATGTATAATATTGTAATATTTTTTTTTTTGTCTTAAAAATTGTGAATAATAAATAAGTACTTAGTGGGTTTAATGTAATTAAGTTGTATAATGATTATAATATAAATATTAATAATAGAAGATAAAATAAAAATGTTAAAAACTAAAAGGTTGTTTTTTGAAATACAATTTTATCTAAAATTCAATAAATCTGTAATAATCAATTTTTAAAAGTACTGTATTTTACAAAAAAAAAATTTTTTTTAGAAGTTATTATTATTTTTAGTTAAAACATATTATCAAAAAAAAATTTATAATATAGTAAATAAAGAATCAACCAGTTTTATTAATAAAAATTAAAAATATAGCAATTAAAAAATTAAAATTTTATTTATTTTTTTATTATATACTTTATTTTAATTTACTAATAATAAAAAATAATAATAATTCAATTTTTTAAGTATTTAATTAGTAAATATAATAATAATAATAAAATTTTATTATTATATTTTTAAATTTATTAATTAAAAAAAAATTAAAACATATTATTATTAAAAAATAAAATTTACATAATTTTATATATAATAATCTTTTAAAAATAAAAAAAAAAATATTTTATTCAAAAAAAAAAATTTTTTTTAGTATTTACTAATAAGATTTAAGTAATATATAAATGCATATTTACTATTAATTTTATATATTTTAATTCTAATTGAAAATATATAATACTAATAAATAATTTTAAGATATTGCAAAATCAAAATTTTAATTAATATTAATTGAAATTCTTAATAATAAAAAAAAAAATCAAAATATTTAACTTAAATTTAAAATACTTTAAAAAAAAAATCCTAAATATTAAAATATTCATAAATATTTCTTTAAAAAAATCATTTTTAAAATAATAAATTAAAAAAAAAGTAAAAAAAAATAATATTTTATATAAAAATTTAGTAAATAAATTAACATATTTTTTCAAAATTAATTATTTCTTTTTTACAAGGATTTTGGTTAAAAAACTTGGGGAGGTGCTTAATTTTGGAAGTTTTTACTAGTATTTTATATAAAAATCTTTTTATCAAAGTTTGAAGGTTGGTAGAATTGTTTAATTTCAGAAAGTAACTAATTTTAAAAAAATACAGTAATAAAATTATTGTTCAGAGCGTAGCGAAGGACTATATAATTTTACGAAGGTCGATGATAATTAGTGTCACGTGGCGATTTCCGGTTGTCTGCACACGTCATTTCTGATTGGTCCACACAGGATGTGTATTGAAATTTCATGCTACATCAAAATAAACAAGCTATGTAAACTTTGAATTTTCGAAACTTATTTTCTAGAAACATTATCATTTTTTTTTTAGATTACACTGGAAATGCTAGAATTGTAAATTCTGTAATATGCCATTAAGAAATAATGATTACCTTTTTTTAGATTTCGGCTAGTAAGCATATTTTTCTTTTAAACGACTTTCTTATTTTTTTTCTAGGGTTTCTGGATTTCTTATACATACCGGACTAGTGAGTTTTTTTTATTTGTTTTGCTTTAAAAAAACATTTTTAACGTTTCATTTTTATTTTCTTTTATCAAGAAACGCAGGTTTTTTGTACATGCCAGACTTTTAAAGGTAAATTGTGACTTGTAAGGGCTTTTCTTATTTGTTTAACTTTAAAGAAACGTTTCTAACGTTTCATTTTTTATTTTTATTTTTTTAGGGATGCCAAATTTTTTGTACAAATTAAATTTTTAAAGATATTTGGATTTTTGTATAAAATCTTTCACTCCGGACTTACAACGGTTTCTGTTTCCTAGTTATATATATATATATATATAAAATAGTTAAAATTAATCTTTTTATTTTAAAAAATATTTTTACTATTTAATAATTAAAATTTGATAATTTATATCTTATTTAAAAGTTTAATTAAAGTAAATTAAATAATAACAGATAATAAAATTATATTAAAGATTTGGATATTTTTCTTATTATTTTAGTATTTAACAATTAAATTTAATAATTATTTTATATTATTAAATTCATTTTATTAAAAATATATGTTTTATATTTGTAACTTTAATATTAATAAAATTATTATAATTTAAAATTTTATAATATTTTTTTTTTAATTGTCCGGAGCGAAGCGAAGGACTATATATGTTTATGAACCTTAACGACATATTGGATCACGTGGCGAAGTCCGTTTGTCCGCACGCGTTATTTTTGATTGGTCCGCACAGAGCGTGTCATTGAATTGGAAAGAGGTGGTTTTTTTATTTGTTTGACTTTAAAGAAACGTTTCTAACGTTTCATTTTTTATTTTTTTTTCTAGGGACGCTGGGTTTTTTGTACACGCCAGTCTTTAAAGTAAAATAGAAAAGAAGGCTTTTCTTATTTGTTTGACTTTAAAGAAACGTTTCTAACGTTTCATTTCTTATTTTTTTTCTAGGGTTTCCGGATTTCTTGAACATACCGGACTTTAAAGGTAAATTGGGAAAAGGAGAGGGTTTTTTTTATTTGTTTGACTCTAAAGAAACGTTTCTAACGTCTCATTTCTTATTTTTTCTAGGGTTTCCAGATTTTTTGAATATACGGACTTTAAAGGTAAATCGGGGTTTTTTTTATTTGTTTGACTTTAAAGAAACGTTTCTAACGTTTCATTTTTATTTTTTTTTTCTAGGGATGCTGGGATTTTGTACATGGCAGACTTTTAAAGGTAAATAAGGAAGAGGGACTTTTCTTATTTGTTTGAGTTTAAAGAAACGTTTCTAACGTTTCATTTCTTGTTTTTTTCTAGGGGCGCCAGGATTTTGTACACACTGGACTTTTAAAGGTAAATTGGAAAGAGCAGATTTTTTATTTGTTTGATACTTTTTCGATAGGGTTTTTTAAATAAATTTTTTTTTTTAATTTTTAACTTTAAAGAGATGTTCCTAATGTTTTAATTTTATTTTCTTCGTAGGAACATAGTTCAAACTTAATCATTTTTTATCTTGTTTAGCTAATCTTGAAAAGTACAAATAAATAAAAATTTTTAAATTTTTTATACAAAATTTTTCGCTCCGGACTCACAACGGTTTCCGTTTCCTAGTTATTTAAATAAAATTATATAATATAATATAATTTTAAACTAAGATATTTTAACTTTAAACTTTAATTTTAATTTTATATATAATTTTATTTAATATAGTATCAGAAGTTTATATATTTAACAATAAAAATATAATACTAAATTTTTAAAAAAAAAATCTATGTAAAAGTTATAATCATTTAAAATTGCATGATTTTTATATAATTGCTTTAAATTTGAAAATTATAATAATACCAATCTGAATTATCATAATTTAAATTAAATGTAATTTTTTTTTAAAAAAAAGAAAATTTTTATTAATATTCCTATAATTTAAAATATATTTAAAATATACTTGAATTTTTATTTTATAAGAAAATTTAAAGAAAATCAAGTATATATTTTAAATAGATATTAAGTATAAATAAATACTTTTATTGGATATATAATTTTTATAAAATGGTAGCTGCTAAAATTACAATATAACACATTTTTAAAAGTTCAAGCTGTATATAGTTTTTTGATAAAATTTAAAGTAAACAAACTTTTTACTTTGAATAATCTTTATAAAAAAAATCTTGAGATTATTCTGTTAAATTAAAGTATTAATTTTATCAGTCAAGTAAAGAAATATTAGAATATTTTTGAAAATATTTTAATTAAGCTTGCAATATTTAAAAATTTAATTAAAAATGTTAGCATTATAAATAATTTAAAACAAATTATAGAAGATATTAAATTAAGAATTTTGAATTTGTAAAATATAAAAAATTTTGTTTAATATTAGCTATTTAATATAAGAACTTATTGATTTATTACAGTTTTTAAAAAATTTAAATTAAATTAAAAACAGAAAAATATTATTTTAGTAGAATATTTAAATTATATAAATATTCAAATTTATTAAAGTAATAAGATATTTTTCTATAAAAAGATTTGATTATAGAGATATTGTGAAGATTTCTATTAATAAGATAATAATATTATTTATTTTATTAGATTCATATGTAAAACTAATTGATAAATCTGTACCAGAAAATATTAATAATAATTTTTTAGAAAATAATTAATTTGAAAAATGTATAAAATATGTAAATAAATATGGTAGTTTATTTTTAAGTTTTTAAAACTCTTTTAATAGGATACTATTAATAGTAATATTTAGTTAATCCAGCCTCTTAGAAGAGGATAGTAATTTTAGATAACTTTTTTATAATTGTATTGTTTTTACTATATTCAGTTTGATGCAATTATTACTTTTATATAAATATACAAGGTTATATTACTTTAATAAAAATATTAAATGTATTTTTATTGTTGAAATTTATTCTATCATATGATACTATCAGATACTTTACTAAAAATGGCCAATTTTTTGAAATATTTTTATAGACCTAGATACAATAGCTTTCAAAACAATTGTGCAATTATTTTGTAAAATTTTTAAAATATATTAATATATATTTTATTTATTTTTGAGATTAAAATATTAAAATAATATCAAAGTTAATTATATTATAATAATAAAATAATAACAAAAACATTAAAAAAATTATTGTGATATTATTTTGAGTTATTTTTATAGACCTAGATACAATATAATTACAAAATAATAACAAAAGTATAATAAAAACATTTTGATGTATTAAATGTATTTTTGTAGTATTTTAAAATTATTACAAAATCATTTCAAAAAATTGGCCATTTTTAGTAAAGTAGCTAATTAAATTCAATAGGTATTTTTATGTAAAAATGAAAAGTTTTTAGCTTATAGAACCTTATTTTTTTTATTAAGATATTATAGGATCTATATACATTATATAATTATATTAATATTAGAGTGAATTTATATAATTATATCTTTTATATGTAATGTTTAAATCTGGCTTTTATCCTAAAAAAGAAATTTTTTTTATGTTAATTAATTAATTCTGGCCAGAATTAAATTCATTATAATTATGATCTAATAAAAAAAAATGACATTTAAAATCACCTTTAATGTCTTAAGTAAACTTGCAAAACACATACTTTATATCTTTTAATATTAAGAATTTCTTTTTACAAATTTTTGCTAAATTTAAGCATTATATAAAATGGTAAAATATACATTTATCTTTAATATTAAAATATAAATAAATTAGTAATAAATTTTAATAAATATTAATTTTTTATCTAATAATACTCTTTTAATCTTTCTAAATTTATTTTTATTTTATTTTTAAATTTTTCAAATTAAATATTTTTTTTTTCAAAATATTTTAAAATTCAGTATTATAAAATTCAATTTTCTGTTAATTTTTTTATTTAATTTTTTAAATTTTTAAATTTAATAAATAATAAAATTCTACTAAACTGGGTGATCATCAACTTTACCAGAAATAGGATGGAACTTGGGGCAGAATTAAGAATATGAATGTAACTCCGCCTAAATGCCATCCTAATGCTGGTAAATGCGATGATCGTCCAGGCAATACCCAATTTTTTAATACAAATTGTTGTGAATTTTGATCAATTTGATTAACCTATTTAAAATTTTTTTTAATAAAATGCAGAGAATCTAATAATAATGGAATTGACATTGGAATTCAGGAAATTAAACTTTAAAATATCAGATATTTTTGAAAAATATCAATTTGAATTTGGAAAAATAACTTCTAATAATAATATTATTATTCTTATTATAAAGATTTCATGGTAAATAACACACATACAGTATATATAAAGTATATAATACGATCTTTATATACAGTAAATTATGACTGAATTGTTAGCATTTATTGGTTATATCTACATTTTCTGTAAATCTGTTATCAGTGCCGAATGATTTTTTCATGATTTATGTTTTTATTTCCTAATGCCTATTATGTAATTATGAGTACGACCACTTCTTTACTACCATTTTTATCCGTATTTCTTTCACTGAATGAATTTCAACTCCAAAAACAATCATGTTTTGTTACTTTTAAAAGTATATAGCGAAATCATGTGACAGTTTATCTGTCGTGTATAAGTAGTAAGTATAGTATATACTATACTGTCTGTACAGTATGTCGTCCAGTAATTTTGTTGCATTCAGGAAAATGGTATGACCACAGCCCACAGGGACAATAGTGGGTTTATAGATTCAGACCCTTTAAATGTACGGCTAATCCTATTACGTAATTTTTTTATAGATAGACTCTTTTTTTATTTTCTTTTTGTACGGCTTTTCGTCAGTTTATTTTATGTTCTATTTTAGGATTTTTATTATATATGATTTCTTGTAGACTGTAATGATAATGGAACTTTCTAAATAGTGTATACTATGTGTAAAAAGATGTCATGTATAATTTCTTGTAGACTGTACTGATAATGGAACTTTCTAAATAGTATATACTTGTTGTGTAAAATGAGGTCATATATATATAATTTCTTGTTGGATCTTTCTAAATAGTATATACTGTATGTCAAAGATGGGTTTCTTATCAAATTATCAATGTATTATTCATTGAAGCATGCATGTACAGTTTATTATCTTATTATTACATTGGCGAATCATAACAAATCTTGAATAATTACCTAATGTTACATCTTATATAATAATGATATCAAGAAAATTTTTCTAATTAGAAACAATATAATAATGTATACAAATTAAATCTAGAAAAAAAAATAACAATAATCTTATTATTCAATAAAGAACTATTAGAAATTCGTACTACTAGGATTCGTGCTTTTTTTTTTCACATTACAAATCATTAATTAATCGTCTACTTCATAAATTAATGTTTCATGATAAAATTTTGCAAATTCGGAAAAAGTACTATTAGGAGTTCCAATAACATCCATACCATTTGCAATTATTAATAAATCAATTAAAGGATAAAAGAAATCTAACATTTTTATATTTCTATCAAATGTATAATTTATATCTCTTAAAGGTTCAATTAAATCTTCAAAATCTTTTAACGTAAATACACAATCAAAAGTAAAAAAGATTTTTGATAATTCCATAAATGGATTAGAAGAATCGGTTGCGATAAATATAATTCGTTTGTTTCGTGATTTACAATTAATAAAATGATTTTTAGATTTTGGTATATCGATCATTTGTGGTGATATTTGTGGTGGTATTTGTGGTGGTATTTGTGATGGTATTTGGGATGTATTTTTTATATCCTTAATTATAAGATCAATTGTATTTTTAATATTCTCTTTAAATATACTATCACCAGTTCTAACATGAACACCTAAAAAAGTTCCAAATCCACCTAATTTATTAATAATATTATTAACTACTTTTAATAAAATTGGATGAGAAATTAAAAAATTTCTATCCATTTCTGATTTCCATTTAATAATATTTTCATTCTTAAAATCAATTCTAAAACTTCCAAATAAACTATCAGTATGAATCAATTTTTCTTTTCTCTTTTTTAAATCATTAATTAAATAATAGGATTCATAATTAATTAATTCATAATTATTATCCTTATTAATAGTATCAAAAAATCTATAATAATATCTATTTTTAGCTTTTTTACCTTGACTTAAAACAAATACATTTTCATTATTTAATAATAATTCATTAAAATTATTATTAATCGTTTCTTTAACATTATTAATAGGAATATTACAAATTTTATATAAACCTTCAATAGAAAAATCATTTCTATTTATAATTTTAATTTGATTCTTAATCCAGTTAAGATCAAATATTTCTTCCCAATTTATAATTATAAAAGAATCATGTTTAATATAATCTAATGAACAATAACCTTTTTCTTCTTCTTCTTTTGAATTTTTTATATTACATGATGATCGAATTCTTTTAATATTTTCATAATAATTCAATCGATCATAAAGTCTATTTAAAGGTGCATATGGAATAGAAAAATTACGAGTAAAATGTATTATTGGTGGTATAATTAAAGTTCTATTTGTTAAATAAGCAAGTACTATAGCATTTTTTAATTCAATTAATTGATTATGAAATTGACTATGTGGAAGGTATGTTAAAAATTTTTCATTTTCATCATAATTATTATTATTATTATTATTATTATAATGATTTTGTGGATTATTATTATTAGAAATTGATTCAAAATAATTGAAATTTGTAACATTTATTGCTTCTAATTCTGGAGTTAATTTTTTAAATGATGAAAAGAATGTAATAGGGAATGTTATAAAGATTAAGAGGATGAATAATTTTTTGAAAAGAAATCTCGTTTTACCGGTATAAAATCGATAAATACGTGTTCTTATAAAAAAAACCATTCTTGATAAGAAAGAGTAGAAGGATAAATAATGAGTAAAATTAATTATTGAAAGAATTGAAGAGATCCAGGCGCATTATATACAGTATATATATACGTTCAAACTTCATAATTATGTATTAAATAATTTACGTTTCGATAGTTCGCTGTGTTCCACGACATTATATAATTAAATTGAATTTTCTTGTTTTCTATTATCGAAACCATATTTTTTTTGGGGTATGTACTTTAATCACGTAAACAAAAAATTAAATTTTTCTTGTAAATTTTATTCGTCTCTTGAAAAAAAAATTGTAATATTTGTAATACAATAATTTATGAGATTAATTAGTATTATAAGATAATTTTTTAATAAAAATTGAACAACGATTTTAATACAAAATTGTACTAAATTTTTTTTTTTTTGTTATCGTATGTAAAATGTGATGTATTGTGTTACAGTTAAAGATATTTAGGACAGAAAGATTTTTTATTGAAATATCGTCTCTGCGAATCGTACATCCTAAAAAAAAAACACGGCTGTCAGCGGATGGAGGTACAAATTTTACTAAATAAATGAATTAAAAATTCGCAAAATATACAAACAAAAAAATTCATTATGACGTTTATGATGTCGACATATACCGAATTTCTCCCAATCAGCAGCGATTTTCAATGAGATACAGATCTGTTGATCACGCGGTTAGGTTGTACATAGCTGTTACTGCGGATAAAACGGTAAACACTTTTAGAAAATAATACAAGTATTTTTAAAAAACAACTTGAGAATATAATTGTTCCAGTATCCGGAACATATTAATTGGTACTATAAATAACTATGGTTCCAGTACCCGAGGCATATTAAGTATTTAAGTGGTACTATAAATAACTAATTAAAAAGTAATTATAGTAATTAAATACTTCCATGTGGTCATAAGGAGTAAAGAAAAAATGATCCTAGTTTACATTAGTGCGAAATTAAATCCATTGATATAAATTCATCGGGTGTATACGTCGTATAATTGGGATATCTAAGAAAAACTCCATATAGAGTAATTCTCCCCCCTCCCTTCGGGGCATCATGAATATTTTAGTTATTCACCGATGCGATGTCCATTTGGATCATTTCGTGATACTCTGCGGTAAAGCTCTATTCATTGTTATTTTTAGACGGTGGATTCCAAATTATAAATGGCATATAATAAGGGATAGACTAGGATTTACCGGTTTATGTTTCAGTACAAATAACTCCAATTAGCACGTATTTAAATAAAACCTCCTTTTGCAACTTAATAGGGGAATTGGCAATTATATACAAAAAAAAAAAATATTGCCAAGGGCCCATAATATCAAAACTAAAATAAGGAACAAAATCCTTTCCATAATTTAATGCGTGGACAGACATTTATAATTTTCATATGAGCAATATGAGCATTTGTTAATCATGCTATTTAACTGCGGAATATCGGTAAGTAGTACAGTATGGTAGAGCTCGAATGTTCGTTATAAAATATTTTATTTTCAAAGAATACGAATAGTAAACAATCTATGAGACAAAAAATCGTATACCAAATATACCAAATTCAAATTTATTATTTATATACATATATACTGTATATATATATAGAGTCCTTCGTTACGCTCCGGACAATGAAACAATTTACAATATTATACATAAATTATTAAATAAATTACTAACACTTTTCTAACCCCCACGGCCCCACCACCCCAAAAAGAAATATTCTAAGTTTCCGTAATATTATTATTATTAATCTTTTTTTTAAGAGATTCTCTTTCAAAAACTAAAACATCATGATAATATTTAGCGAAACCAGAAAAAGTACTTGAATAAGTTACAACAACATCCATACCATTAGATATTATTAATAAATCAAGTAAAGGATAAAAAAATTTCGACATTTTTGTATTTTTATCAAAAGTATAAGATATTTTCATTAAAGGATTAACAAAATCATCAAAATCATTGATTGTGAAAACACAAGAAAATGTTGAAAAGATTTTTGATAATGTAACATGAGGATTTGAAGAATCTGTCGCTATAAATATAATTTTTTTGTTCAATAATTTACAATCATTAAGAGATAGATTTTTAATATTATTCGAATTTATCGTTTGATTTGAAATCTTTTGATATTTTTTCAACTTTTCAATAACTTGATCAATGATATTTTCCAAATTATGTTTAAATCTTCCATCAGCAGTTCTAACATGAGCACCCAAAAAATTTCCGAAACCACCCAATTCATTAATTATATTATTAGATACATCTAATAAAGTGGGATGAGAAAGTTTAAGACTTCTAAGCATATCAATTCTCCATTTAATAACATTTTTATTTCTATAATCTATTCTAGTACTTCCAAATAATGTATCCACATGAATTAATTTTTCTTCTCTCTTTCGTAAATCACTAATTAAATAAGGAGTTTCATATTTACTTAAAATATAACTATTATTAGAATTTTCAGTATCAAAAAATCTATAATAATACTTATTATCATTACTAATAACGTATACATCGTTATTATCTTCTAATAAACCTTGTAAAGTAATATTATAATTATTATTATTATTCGTATTATTCGTTTCTTTAATAGGAATATTACAAATATTAAATAAACCCTCGATAGAAAAATCATAACCTCTATGTCTGTCTCTTATACACATCTAGATGTGTATAAGAGACAGCGTATACATCGTTATTATCTTCTAATAAACCTTGTAAAGTAATATTATAATTATTATTATTATTCGTATTATTCGTTTCTTTAATAGGAATATTACAAATATTAAATAAACCCTCGATAGAAAAATCATAACCTCTATGTATAATCTTAATTTCATTTTTAATCCAACTAAAATCAATTATTTCTTCCCAATTTATTAATTCAAAATTATCATAAGCTTCATATTCTGGGGAACAATGATCTGAATATTTAATATCACATAATAATCTATCTTTCTTTATATTAGTATTATTAATTAATTGATTATTAAGATAATATAATGGTGAATGAGAAATACTTAAAACTTTATGTTCAGTTTGTAATATTGATGGAACTATTAAAGTACGATTTGTTAAATAAGCAAGTACTATAGCATTTTTTAATTCAATAAATTGATTATGAAATTGACTATGTGGAAGATATGTTAAGAATTTTTCATTTTGAATCGGAAAATCTTGAGAATCTTCAATAATATCATAATCTTCAATTGAACATTTTAATTCTAATGGATTAGAAAAACATTCTTTATATGAAAAAAAGAATACGAGAATAGTAAATAATATTAGGAGAGGATAAGTTGTTCTAAATAATCTTTTATAAGAAAATCTTAGCGTTTGAAAGTAATTATTATTATTATTATTATTATTATTATTATTATAATAATAATTATTATTATGATTTTTTTTATCAAGTGGCATTTTTATGAATTTCGAATTTCGAATATTTTTTTTTTTTTTTATGT